TATTTTATTTAATCGAGATTGTTCCTTCATACCTTAAAAAAACATCTGGGATTTATCTGTTGTAATTGTATTGAACCAGAACACTTTAAATTTTAATTTAAATATAAAATACTCCGTCGAAGAATTATATTCATCCATTACCACTGTTACGTTAAAATTACTGTTCTTGTATTCCAGAAGTCGCTGGAAACATAGTGGCAGCTGCATTTCCAATTTGCCGTTGTGTAACTGAAGCACGCTGGAAGTGCCAGCACAGCAGCCCCTCGCCTGCCAAGGATTTCAGTGTCAGTTTTGCGTGTGGAGGTACTTATTTTCATACATTAGGGATTACACTGTTTAAAAAATATGGAAAACATTAGTGGCTTCCGCACCGAGACAGTCACAAATTTGCTGCGAACAAGGCAGAAGTGGGAACCGAAACAAATACCCTAGCTTCCAGATTACAGATACCGTACGTTTCGTGTAGCTCTGGTCTAATTTGATATCCAATTTATTATCAGACATGATCCTTTCTGCAGTGAAGAAACAAACCTATTTAGGTTATGATGAATGAAAGCAAATATTAGCTTCTCGCAATACGGGAAGATAGACCGAAAGTATATGAGAAATGGGTACATAGGAAAATATTTTGGCGTAAGAAAAAATTAAAAATAAACCGCTTCATGTCTTCTGCTCTGCGACAATCATTACTGTGGCGAGATCTGTACATAAGAAGATACAGCAAAAGATAAATTCCAGCAAATAATTTTAATGGGAACATCTGAAGGGGGAAAACCACTCTCTAGACGTACACGATACAGATGGAATGATAATATTAGAACTGATGTTAACGAAATAAGGCGTGATCTTGTGGACCAGACTGAAGCAGTTGCGAATAGCATCCACTGACGGACTCTCGTGAATACGGCAATGAACTTTTCCCTAGACCAAGTAACCGGATATCAAGTTCTGAAGGAGGGCGGTGTTTCATGTTGCTACTTGCTTAATCCTTGCATACAAAAAGGAGAATCGCAGAGATCCCCTGTTCTCTGGCCAGTCTGTTTCAACTGAGGCCAAACACATTCCATGATATGCATTTTATGTCTTACATCTTTATAAAAAGAAGACCATGGGTATGTGCCTCTTAACACGTCCCAACACAGCGTCATATGTCGTCAAACGTCTCACAAATCTCATCTATTATTTACCCAAACTCGATCCAACACAAAAATAACACGACCAGTCACAGAATTCCCGTCTATTGAAGCAAATTCTAGGGAAAATGTTATTTGCTTCATTCCTACACGCGAAGCCCATCCATAATCCCCGTAACAGTAACAGCGGTGTGCAATCAGGACCAATATAGATGATTGCTGCAACCTGAAAGCAGTTTAGTTACTTCCAAATGTAATGGCCTCAAACAGAGGCTGCTATTTAGAAATACCTATGAATTGTATTATTACACTCGTATCACCATATAAAGATCAATTCTTAACATAAAGAGCTATATACTCGCCAGTTCCAACGGTATTAGCATTAACATTTCATTCAAATGTCAAATAATTACGTCAGTTTTGAGTGTGTAATTTCGTAACTACAAATTTATAACAATCATTATAGCGTATTCATAAGGCAGATCGTAATATATTTACCTATGGCTTTACACCCCTTTGTCGAACCTTGTTCGCTTTTCAGTTTCTCGATCTTTTACAGTCGATATGACTCCTTGAACGGAGATCAGCCCGTCGCAGGGTCTCTACCTACACATAGAATAAACGCATACACAAATATCCATGCCTTGAGTGGGATTCGAACCCACGATCCCCAAGTTCAAGCTAGAGAAGACAGCTCATATGTCAGACTGCGCGCTACTGTGATCTGCCAGACCGCAATCTTGACCAGAGAAATATATACTCCGATAATTACCCGTATTTTGCAAACGTTCTTTGTTTCTTTTCTTCTTCATTGACCTCGTTCATTTACTGCAGATTAAAGTGTAACCGCTTTGTACGTGTGTGATTTATTATTCTAATTACGCAATTTAGGGTTACCATAGCGACGCAATGTCACATGTTAACATGTTGCATGCATTTAATTTACGTAGCAGGACACGAATAAGCGAGCAGTATATCGCTTCAACTCTCCGATTATGTATAATATTTCGATGCGGATATATGAAATGTAGTGCATTATAAAGGGGACGGTTTGCACATTATTCGTGGGAGGTGAGTTTTTTTTTATTGCTAGTGGGGTGGGACTAAGTCCCTTGTACTGCGGCCACATCTGGCCTATTGTACCAGCCCCAGATGATAGGTGAGGGTGATTGTGGAGCAATTGGTGGAATGAAGATTGGCAGGGGAAACCGAAGTACTCGGAGAAAACCTGCCCCAGCGCCACTTTGTCCACCACAAATCCCACTTGACGAGAACCGGGATCGAATCCGGGCCGCCGCGGCGGAAAGCCAGCGACTAACCGCTTGCGCTATGGCGCGGCCGGGAGGTGATGTTAAATGTGGGGCCGAAGCAACAAAATTAGAAGGAAGAACGGCAGAAAGTAGCACTAAAATTTATGTAACAAGTTCTTAGAATACCCGTTAGATTTTCAACAGGTATTACACTAGTTACTGCTGACATAACACTTCATTGCAAAGATGTCTCAGTGTAGTCAACAGTAAGTTTCGTTTGTATAAGGACCTAACTTCCTTGCTCTGTAACCATCCAACTGACAGGTCACAGGTGAAGCTCCGGGCTCACTTAGAGACCGAGCATGTGACAGGTGCTAAATATTCTACCTATTCAAGTCTACGCCACACAATAATTAGCAGCAATAAGATTAATGTGCAGTAATGGTAGCGTGATGATTAAAAGGGTCAAACCGAACAAACTTAGAGTAAAGCCTGCTCCATTGCCATCTCGTTCAACTAGAACTTCACATAAAGTAACCCGGGATTGAACCTCGGGTTCCGAAATAAGATGCCTGCGAATCACCGGCTGAGCTATGACACGACCCTTAGTTTTGCTCCCCCTCCAAAAACTTCATTAAAATTCCACAAATTTGCATTAACCACGTTACGAACCAACATTCGTAGGTGTTTCGAGCTGTTTTCCAGAAAACCGATAAAGTTTGGACTTCATTCAATGTAAGGTTTATATAGACACATATAAAACAACACTAAATATATCCAATACGTCTTTACATAATGTTAAATGGTCATATTTATGGGTAATCGAAATCAATTTGGTAGTTTCTGAGGAGAAACATTCTTAGTGACAGACCATTAAGAAGGTTCTCCCCATTATGCGTCAGTTTTTCATAATTTCTGCAATGGACATATAAAATAAAATGATCTTGCGCCAGCCTGATATCCAGTAGTATGCCTGCTGCTTTGTCAAGCAACATTCTAGAGAGTTCCAGGAGGCAAACTGATGAAAATTAAACAGGAAATGACATGTGTATATATGTACAGTGTATATATACCGTATATATAAACGCGGGGTGTCCATGTTCACTGCATGAATTTTACGAATAAAAATAAATAAGAAAGCCCCTGTAAGAACTGGGCTACATAAGCTACCTTCTTATATATGCAGGAGGGTTTATTCTGTTTCTGCAACACTTACGCTTCACTAACAACACAGCCGTGAAACGTAAATATTTTCCATACCACTTTCATTAGAGATAATTATCTGACATTCTTAAGGATAAAATGAGGCCGCGCCATAGCTCAAGCGGTTAGTCGCTGGCTTCCCACCGCGGCGGCCCAGGTTTGATCCCGGGTCTGGTCAAGCGAGATTTGTGGTGGACATATCTTCACAGATAAGAGGACTTTTCGAATGTTTGGATAGTAAACTTTTTTATTTGGAGGATAAAAATGCCCATGCTCACTGTAACCAGGGTCGGTCTGAAGCTTTAGCACTCCATGTAACCATGTGACTGGTGAACACGGGTCACGTTACCGTGACTCCTGCAGGAAGAGGTGCCATTACCGATGAGCCTACACAACACGGATGATTCACGCACGATGGAGCGCCAGCCCGATGCAGGAAAGCGCTTTCCAGGTGTATGAACACGTCCTATTCAGGAAGATTGTCTGTTCGGTAGGGATCTGCACGTTGGATACAGAACTCCTCGGATCATAGTCCGTTGGGCTGTCATTTGTTGGGGCACATGAACCGAATTTTATTTCGCACGAGAATCTGTGGTACCGGATAATTCTTCACACTCGCAGTTTTCTTGCACTACAGAATTCAGCGGTCTCCCTCTCGACGAGATGGATTATGCATTGTGTGCATTCACCGATACACCGAAGAGTTATGATCGTTTTGCTGAAATTCGGAAAGAAATTGCTCTTTTTATTTTATTTCACACAACACTTCCGAAATTCAGATTTTACTTTTTATTCCTGAAAGGAGGAAACTTTTCTGTCATTTTATCGAAAGTTATTATGAAGTTTTGGTTTTGTATGACGCGTAATAATAATCATCATGCCGCAAATTGAACCTCAACGCATTCACACGCAATATGTTGCATTAAATCTGGCATGTTTTAAATTGCTTATATCTCTGTCAGAAAGCCCCGAAGTCAGTGTGTTTACAGGCATACTCTGTTCTGTTTGGCTGAAGGATAAACTGTGTGAACCTTTGTACGATTACATGGGACATTCTGAATTTAAGGCAAAATAAAAAAAATTGCCATTGTGAGCACCACCCCACCATCGTACTTAGAGAAAGGAGGATGCGTCCTTTCCTGCTCCCCTTCAGTAGAACTCCGCACGTTAACCCGCCAACGCTAGCCATTTTACCGAATAAACTGTACGGCCTCTCAGATATAGGGCGTATAAGAATCTTCATATTTCACTTGCCATAGGAAGTATTCTATTAACAGACCCATCATGAACTTCAGAAATAAGCTATTCGTAAACCTGGAGTCACTCCGTAGATGTGTAGAACTATAGATATCCATATATAACACACAAAAAAAAATATTGGGATTTCTTGAACACCCTGTATACAATTACTTACTGTCTCTGGCGGCATCCGAACTGAGGGCTAATGCGAAGATTACGAGAAGAAACAGAACTGCAGGAACTGAGTGCTGACGAAGCAGGCAGTTTGAATACATAATGCTGCTCGTTGAGGTACCAAGAACCATTTCCTCTGGGCAAGAATGAATTCCCCTACAAAATGGTCGACGATGAGTCATACTGACCGATTTCGTAAATTTCACCGTTTCACACAACGCACAGCGGAAGTTGAACGATCCGTTAGACTATGCCTTGATATTAGCACAGTATCACATACAAATTTCACTTTTATATCTGTAATAATCTTTTTTCTGGGAAAGTAATAACGGCAGTTGCTCTGGGTCTTTCGCTTTAATAGATTCACTTAAACCGCGTAACTCGAAAGCACAGTAAAACTTCGATCATTATAATTCGAACACTGAGAATTGCAAGGAAAACTTGTACCTATCTACATTGCAATAAAAATTCACTAGTATTTTAAATACAAAGTTGTCTGACGTACTGGTGAGAGAAGTCTATTTTAAATTGTATTCAATATTCCTCACTGTAATAAACACACAGAGAAGCACTTTTAATTACATTCACACAATCTTCAGATTCGTGCTCTAATGCTTTGAGTTACCGAATTCACCAGACATTCATTAATGGTGTAACAGCTTCATCTCTCTTTCTTTTCTTCTTCCTAAATGGTAAACCACCTATATCCGTTTAAAGAACTATGGGAGTAGTGAGAAACCACGAATAATAATGTTATATATTCCTTATTCACTTTCCCATACAGATAAATATTAATTGTTATTCAAGAAAGTAAAACTTCAAATCACATTAAAAGTTTAAATTCTAGTACGGTGTACTACAATTAAACACTGAAACACGCATAGAGGATCGTGCAGTAATGTCCGCACTGAGACGTGCATTAATTAATTCACAGCCACAAACTTACGAACGAAATGCAGATAATGATTGCTGTGTGTTAGCATGCCGTCGGTCGGCACCAGACTACACCCACTTCACGCTTCAGACAGGCACCCCCACGCCATCCTTCAGCCCCATTAGATTTTAAATGCATAACTGCAACGAATAATTCTTTCTACACGTTTTAAGTGCCACATTATCACATGTCAAATGTTCTTTATAAATAAATCAATGAAAATGATGAGACTTAATTGTTAAACATCAACACCCATCCTCGTAGATCCTGCTCTGTGGAACTGCTGCATGCAGGAAAACTTTGAGTGCGCTGAAGGTCCTGGAGGCAGCGCAGGGGTTCACACCACAAGAATACAACAAGTGTCGGTGCTACAGGGGATACACCCACTCGCGTGACGCCAACATGACGTGAGCTGTGTGCCTCCTCTCGGCAAACTGAGTGCCTGATCCAGCTCCGTCGCGACGCTAACCGGCGCGCAACCACTTACATAACCCGCCGCGCAGCTCAGCGCATGCGTACTATATCAACACAAGTAAAAAGTTTATTTTAATTGTTCAATTTATGTCTTCCAATTATAAAAATTCATGTTTTTTGTAGGTATTAAAACGTAACGTAATAATTATATAATATAGACCTGCAGCATAAGAAGGTCTACAGCAAAATTTTGTCATATTAGCTTTACTCAGACAACTACGAGTCCAGTGAACTGATGTGTGTGTGTGTGTTTATTATGTCAGGTGGAGAAAAGGAAGAAGTTTAAAAAAAGGTAAAAAGAGGAAATGCTCAAATGATCTTAATGAAAATCTAGAACAGTGGTTCCGAAACTTTTCAGAGCCACTGCCCCCCTTGTTCTGTTAACCCGTCCCCAGTGCCACCTGCCTAACCCAATACACAGCATTTTTCAGAACAGCGGTTTGCACAACCCGCAAAGGAAAATAATAACAATAAAGAAAATACCACATTTAGAAGTATCTTCTTTTTTCCTTGGCACTACAGTCCCAGTGGGCCTAGGCCTACCTCCATGAACTTCTCCGTTCACTTCGGTTTTTCTAGATCTTACACATTCGGTAGGACTCCTTGGGCGGATGATCAGCTCGTCATAAGGACTCTGCTTGTACACAAACACAGAAAAACGCACACACACAAACTAAACATCCATGCCCTGAGTGGGATTCGAACCCACGATCCCGGCTTCCAAGCGAACGAGGACAGTTCATTCCTTAGACCGCGCGGCCTCTGTGATGGGCTCCGCTGAATTACTGTCGACAACGAAAGAACTTGTGCTTCTGTTCCTCCAAGAAACTGAATTTTTGTTGTCCGAATTAATTTGTCTCTGGTTATATCCACAGCCCGTGCTTCGACAAAAGTCGTAGTTGCGTGATCAGCATTCCTGCCTCATATTCGGGAGGCCTAGATTTCGACAAACTGTCCGGTGGCTGACTATACTAATTGAAGTTGCTGTGGATAGGTTTAGAGCCCCCCAGCAAAAACCCTAGACATTCCCTTAAAATACATACACAGTGATTCTGTAAACAAAAAACTGACAATAATTTAGAATCACTCTCAACAAACATTTCCTACTACATTCCTTCATATTCATCATTCTTAATCGCCCTACTATTTGATGTTGCATGACCTTGGAAGAAAGTGACGTCAGGAAACATAAGAATGAATTACTCTAAAGATGTCCGCAAGGAGATAAGTCAGGGCACCATTCTTTCTTTTTGATACTAAACACAGAGGAGTGTTCAGCAGTTCACCCTTCGACTGTTTACTATCAGGGAAAGAGCTGCTGTTTCCCACCTCAAAGGAGTCGGAAGAGGAAGCCCCCAGAGCTCACATGGGCGCGGTGGAAAGCTCTGCGTCTACCAGAAACCTCCTGTCTATGGCTCTACAGCCCTTTGGGCCTTGTCCGCTTTTTCAGTTTCTTAATCCTATACAAAGTCGGTAGGACTGCTTTGGCGGATGATCTGCCCATCGCAAGGCCTCTACCTACACACAGGACAGAACAAACAGAATAAATGCACACAGACATATGTTCTTTGAGTGGGATTCGAACCAATGATCCCAGTGTTTGAGCTCATAACTTCATAACTTAGACCGCGCGGCTGCTGTGATCGGCTCGCAGACTGTCCAGCCCATAGCTAATCACCTTAATGAGTGAGCCGTGTCGCCTCCCGTAACACAATACGGTACTAAATCACGATGCTGTATCAATGGAGCCCGCTCTGTGGCAAGAAACTGCGACGGAGAGTCGCTGGTGTTCCCCACCACTGAACACAGGCTGGGGTGATGAATGGCTGGCACTGTTGCTCTCTGGGAACGCTGATTCATTTCGAAAGGACCCCGAATGTCACCGTTTCAAAAAGAACTCGCGAAGACGAGAACAAACAAAGCAGTCGAAGGGCGACCTTCTGGTGTTCAGTGGCCAGAGCGTTCACTTGGCTGAATCACGAACAAATGTTAACTTGCTAGCACCGGCAGTCCCTTGCAGCATACAGTGATCACTGTCTTCCTTCATAGCAGAAAATGGAAGGGAACTCCGTAAGATGCTCTTCTTATTCCTTGAACTGTCATTCCTTTATAACTTTCAAAGTGTATGAGAACTGAATTAATGCTTCGCTTAAAGTCACAACATTCTGGAAACGCTTCCCATCTTTCAGTTCAGTATATCGTACCTACACTCCGAAATATTAAAATGTACAAAATTATAATTTCAACTGCTGTTTTGCATAAATACAAAATTTATACTCTCAGTCTGAGAGAACAGTATAAAGTGAAGATGTTTCACATCACAGTGCTGAGGAGAAAATGTTAGTACGAGAAAGAAAGTAACAGGATTACGAAATTCCAGAATAAGCTTTATATTTTTTCTCTTCTCTTAGTATTCCTAGGGTTTTACACGTAAATGAATGACGGTATGGGTACGGAAAGTAGCCTACACGAAGAAGGTGTGAAATATTTTCAAAATTTCACTCGGGAATCCAGAAAGCAGAGAGCAGTAGGGAGAATAGTAATACCATTGAACCAACTAGTTTGGAAAGCGAACATGTTCGCGTTGCAGCCACTGGACTGTTCCTCTTCTCAACTTTCCCATTAAACTGATCATCCAGAAGCAAGGTGTGTAGTATCTACATGCAAATGGGTTATCGTATTTAAAAAAATACAGAAAACTTCACCATTATCTGCCCAACTGTATTCTTCTTAATAAAGGCACTTGCGAGGAATAACGTAATATTGATATCAAGATTTTGAATGCTACATTTATCAGGAAACTACTTTAAAACAGAACGCCCTAACTTAAGACGAGAGCTTCTTTCTTAACTGATAAAATCGTAAAAAAATCTTCTTTTCGGCAAAACTGAGCATATCATGTAGTTGTCAATGTTATAAACAAAAAGAAATACACTGTACCATAACGAAATAATAAATTAAAAACTAAATACATTAAATAAAACTCTAGGCATTAATATTGTGACGTACAGACCCACTGCTAAACAACGATTCGGTAGACACATTCCTGCGGAAACCAAAGCGCGCAACAATTCGATGTCTAATGCTAGGTAACGTTTCAGTAAGCACGCCTAAAACAATATGGGATAATAGAAGACGGTGTTTTCAGTGGGGTTCGCCCCGAGGATACATAAGGGAAGTTCCAAGGGAGCATTTAGTTGCTGTCAGAATTTGAGAGAGTTCAGTTGAAGAAGAGTTCGTTTGAGTTAGTTGTTTTCGAGAACTGCGTAGAGTTCTGGAGATGGCAGTACAAGATGATTCAGAAAAAATGGCAAGGAAGGAATTACGCTGTGAAAAGATGACTTCATGTGTGATTTGAAGTGACAGTGAGACTTGTTAAATCCGTTTCCAGGATGCGACTAGTGAAGACTGAGAATCCTAATGAGTGTGCAGCGGTGAATTGTAAAGTGTGTACGTCAGCGATAGCGCTCTATTTCCTGTATAGTTCCGAGTGGTGTGTGTAAGATGTCAACCTATCTGCCTTATATTACAAATAATACGTTATTTTAAGTAATGTTCTTTGCAGAGAGCACCATGACACTAATATTCATAAAAATTAAGTATGAATATATACAGAGACATGGATATGTATCTGAAAACGGATAACCTGCAGAGGAATATTGTTTGGCAAGACTGACACCATACTTATGCGACGAGAATATCCGGAGGTTGCAGTAGAAATATCACAGTTTCTCTTATTTCAATGCCAACCCCACGACGTGAAGGTGAGATTATTATTGACGTAGGAGATACTGAAGACTTGCACTGCCAATCCCGGGTATACTCCTCGGGTTAGTATAGTATTGGTTCTGCCAAAAAATACTTCCTTTGCAGAATATCCAGTCTTTAGTTACGAACGAGGGTCTCGACAATGAGTAACAATGAGATGCCTATAACTTCCTGTAAGAACTTTCTGTCTCCTATGTCAAAATATTCTTCTCAGCACCCTGTTGTCGAACACACTCAGTCTATCTTCTTTCGTCAGAGCGAGAGACGGAGTTTCATACCCACATAAAATATAAATTAAATTTATATAGATATATGTTACATAGATATGTTGCACATTAAGACGGGATATTCGAAGACAAAATATTCCGAACTGAATAGTAGTCACGTGGTATATTTTATAACTTCAATGTGCTCTTAATTCAATGACGAGCGTAATTTCACGTGTTTCTGTTGTTCCCATTTCTGCCATATTTCAAAGCATCTATTAGCCTCCCTGTACTCTGGTTTCATTCTGTAGTATGGCGAATAAAATGAACACGTACCACGTTTCTGTGGATCTCAATAATTCAGACATGTGATATATTCCACTTAACGCAGTTTGGTAAAAACACTATTTGTTAAACTTAACTTGGTTCATCCTGGTTCGTCACACTTACTCACTTATTCACTCACGGATATGAGCCCTTCTGGCAGAGCCGCCAATTCTGCAGCTACTTAATTTCCCAGCATTTTATGGAACCCAAAGGTTCATTGCCGTGTTCCCAAGAGCCTTCCACTGGTCCATATCCTGAGCCAGATCAATTCAATCCAAACCATCCCAAACTCTCTCTCTAAGATCCATTTTAATATTGTCCACCCACCTATGCCTTGGTCTTCCCTGTGGTCTCTTTTCTTCTGGCTTTCCCACCAATATCCTATACGCATTCCTTTGCTCCCCATTCGTGCTACATGCCCTGCCCACCTCATCCTCATTGACTTGATCATTCTAATTATACTTGGAGAAGAGCACAAGTTATGAAGCTACTCATTATGTAGTTTTCTCCTACCTCCTGTCACTTCGTCTCTCTTCGGTCCAAATATTCTCCTCAACACCCTGTTCTAAAACGAACTCATTCTATGTTCCTTAATGTCAGAGACCAAGTTTCACACCCATACAGAACCACAGGAAAATATTA